GGACGAGAAAATACTCGCTGAACGTCTGCAGAAACAGCAGTTGGAAGGTTGGTCGAAGAGTCATTTGTCCGTGGTCGATGTTTTCATGCGTCTTGGGCTAGGGAACACTCCCACTGCCGTTATTAGCCGCAATGTACAAGCGCTGGACAACTACATCACGTTATACAACCTAAAGAATCCTCCAGCAAAAGAATCTGTGGTCGGCGTATATGTGAAAGTTTTCGGTGCAGCTGAGCTGAACAGCATGCTGAAGAGAATTCCTAGGTCTGCGAAGCTATATGGGCTATTCAGGGACGGTTAGTCCACTTTTGAAGGCAATCAGAGGGAATGCCGAAGATCTAAGCGTTTTTAATACGATAGATTAAAGTGGTTGTACTAGCGTACACAACACTAGCTCACAATGAAGGCAATGCTGACACCGAATCGATCAATTGTTCTTTCCTGGTTATTCTCCATAAATGTTCAAATAGATACCTGTCAGCACATCCTACACCAGAGTGCAACCTTTACACCGGTTACAGATCGGTTTTCGGGTCAGTATTGGTAGGTGCGTTAAAAGCACGTGGGTAAAGATTGGTACAGTACTGCACCCCGTTTTCGCGGGGGTGGACCATATAGGATTTGCAAATAAATCAGAATTTAGATTACAAACTTTTGTTAATTTAGATCCAGGATCATCACGTCCGGAAGTTTATCAAAGGTCCAAGGGCGCAAAAACTGGGTGCAGTACTGTACTTGAAGTCAAAGGGGCAATCAATCGAACTTAAGCAAGATTTGAATTTTCACATTTCGAGCAGTGAAGGAACCGGTATGTGAATTCCGCAAAAGTACCGTCGATCTGATCCATTTCTAAAGAACAGGAAATTTGTAAGCGAATAATCAATGATTTTCTCTTAACACCTTGGTTCCGGACGGTACTCGCCTAGGACATGTCGTAAGTTACACCATTGCGAAAAGCTTGGTATTTGTATTGGCCATGTGTTTGCCTTGAGGATTTGAATATAAATTTTTAACAGGTTTCCTAGCCAATGTCGTAACTCATACGGCATTGTGAGACTGCAGTCGACTCTCTAAGTCGTAACTATCTACAAATGTCAATAACAGGTGGCTGTGCTGATGCCGCTCATTTCAGAAAACGCAAGGAAGAAGGTACATCAGTTCAAGAAACTTAGCATTCAACCACACAAACCTAGCGACTCAACAATTGACTACACATTCAATCCGCCCACGTCGGTTCGGTTAGTGGCATCGTCACCGGGGTTTCTGCCGTCAACGCCTTGGTCACAATGAAGCCGGAGCTCCCGCCGTGTTTTCTTTCGCCTTCCAGCACTCTGACCGGGCCGACGCAGCACAACTCGCTTCCCTAAGTCCGGCGGAATCGCTTGGCCTGCTTGGAAGTCGTCATGCCAGATTCTAAAACATGTTTTCGCAACACCCTTGTAGTCGCGGCGAATCCGGTTGCACAGCCAGCACTTCGCGCCGACGACAGAACAGCGTTCGCAAAAGTACGACGTCGCGTACGACTTCTTTTTATCTGTCCGCAAGAGTGCACATACCTTGCAGGACCGCTGGCGTCGCTTCTGGACGCCGCTGACGGTAACCCAGTCTTCGGACTGCTGCAGCGAATGTGATAGCCGGACCGGTGCGCGCCGTCGTTTCTGGCTGGAGGAGGGTGGTGTTAGTTGTACTCCAGCAAAATCTTCGGCCTTCACTTGAAGGAGCTGGTTCTGGAGAACTGCAAACCACTCCGAGCGTTTCATCGCGACCGTCCGTTTCATTTTAGCAGCCTCTTTGTGTGACAAGAACGCATTTACCAGCGCTAGGTCGAGAAAGCCTAAAAATAGGCTTTTATAGTATTTTGAGAACCGCGTGGACATCTGTAGTGAGTACGATTGCAGGCGGAGTTGATCATGACGATCTACTCCGCCCATCCAGTCCTGGTAGCCGTTCACAGCTGCCGGACAACCGACCTGAATTGCACCGACTCGCTTCAACTTTCTCTCGATTGTGGACGGTGTCATTACGGAGCCTGTACACAGGTAGTAAACAGGGTTTCGATCCCACCAGATGTAGGAGACCATGCTTGGGACGGCGACCGAGCGCGAAAAGGCGAAAGAGCCACGGGGGATGCTAGCTGGACGAGTCTTGCTCTTAGACACTATGCTCTTGTTGAACCCCAAGCGGTTCGTCATAATTGTCCCCACCACGTAGATTTGCATAGCTAGGAGCTCAACCGCAAGGAGAATTGACGAGTAATACTGGTCGATAACGACAGCATGCCACGGGCACCGCAACTCTGGAGTTAGCGCAAAATTCAAGTTCCGGACGACGGCCGCTGCTCCCGTTTTGAAGTCAACGCCAGTGTCTCTTCCATCAATATTATTCCGCTTTCCAACATAAACTTCAAATCTACAAAGTTACGACATACATAGTAATTAGGATCTGCCACAATGGGGAAAGTTACGACATTAAAAATAAGACAAAAAAATAACCTGTGACAGTACGCGGTCTTTGCATCACATAACATAAATAGTTTTGAGCTGTATCTGTGAGGCTTGTCAGACATGAACATGCGGGTGGTGTTGCGCCTCGATGTTGCAGGCAGCACGCCTTCGTCGAACGAGAATATGGCAGGGAGAGACCAGCCAGCTAAGCACGCTGTTGGAGCTTGTCCACCACTGGGCGCACCTTCCACAGCTTGTCGCGGCCGTGGTCCACTGTGTTATCTACAAAGTGAAGATCCCTCATGATTGATTGACATCTGTCGCGGCCCATGTAACGCCCAAACAGCCCAGCAGGTATTGCCCCATCTTCGATCATAGACCAATGCGCGGCGAAGCGTCTCTTCTGGGGACAAAGCATCCGAGCGACAAGAAGCCCGACGACATGAAGGATTTCGTGGGCACTGTATGCTTGGGCTGCCCTTAATCGCCTGGCAATTTGTGCGACGGTCTCACGCCGGCGTCCGGACTGGCGTGCAAACATTATTTCTGATCGCTTGTCCACTTGCTGAAGTCCATAACGATTCGTCTCAGTAGCGATAGAAACCCATAGCGTTTTTGGCATGAAGTAGAAAAGAGTGAGGATTGGCGAGCGCCAAACGTCAAGCAGCTCGCCCACAGGTCTAGCTTCCTCCTGACCCAGTCCGGGATAAGCATTAGTATTCGTTTCGTACTCCGTCGAAACCGGTGTCCATTGCATAGATCGAAGAGTGTCCTTGCGAGCCTCCTCAGCCGCTTTGCTCAGTGTAGTGCTGCCAACATTAAGTGATGCCAGGAAAGATTCATCCATGGCGACAGCATCACTGTCTGAAAGAACGTCTTCATCTTCGTCTATCACGTCACCTTCGGAAGCACAGTCGTCATCACAGATGCCGGCACCATCGCTCTCGTCTGAGCTATAGTCCTCGTACTCACCGCTGTTCTCCCCATCCTGCAACACGTTCACGTCATCCGTGGCTGTCAGCGGTACTCGAGCTAGTCGTTGTGCAACGATGAGGGTATTGGTGGGTCCAGTGCATTCGTCTTCCCCTTCGCTCTCCATTCCCGACGCCTCGGATAACATGTGCAAGCTTGTGGCAGCCTCTCTTTTTTTCTGTTCGGCTTCTAAATCACTCGGGGAGAGATCAAATGCTCTCATTACCGCAGCCTGCGAAAGCTCAACCTCCGATTCACTGGAGGATCCGAACATCTGGTCGATAGTATTTTGTGATAGCAGAGCACTTGTGTCAATTTGGGAGGGTGTAATGCCGTTTTTAAAATCAGTTCCTGCATTATCATGCCGTGTATCGCTCCCGACTTCCTCTGGGGCTTGATCATCTCTACCCCCCCTGACCATCTTTACCAGCATCCGCTACCGCGTCTTCCTCAGCCAACAATCCCGACTGGAAGGCGTAATCGACAACCGCACGCTCACCTATGAAGACGTGAGCTCTCTGCGGACTTGTGTATGTCCACTCTGTCTGCAGTCCTCTCGGCCGCTTGGACGTCCACCCCACCGCCTTGAGCTGTCGCCATAAGTGCCCAAAGTCAACGTCGTGTGCGGCGACAGCTAGGGCGGCAGGTTTCTCGCGGCGACTGGAGCGCTTCCGTGTCATCCAGCAAAATCTCGAATGAGCGGTCAAGGATTTACCTTCCACCTGATCCCCATCCCCTGACCTGGTTTTGTTTTCGTTCCTGAAAAACCTCTTGCAGCTTATATGTTGCATCATACTTGATTAAAGTATTGAAAATTCATTTCCGAGCCATTTGCTAATAAACCTTGCGCTATGTCGTAAGTTACGACATAAAAAAATGGATGTCGTTAGTTACGACGTCCGGAACCAAGGTGTTAAACACCGGCCCAGTATCGGAACAAAAAGCCTTTATTTCGAATCGGCATCGCTCTAGATTCCACTTGCTCGTATCGACTCAGAACAAAGAGGGCTTGTAGATGCGTGTTTCCGCTTTATTACCAGGGTCGAGGTAGCGATTTTGTGTCAGTCACTCTTGTGTAATCTATTTCTTATTGTAGTACAGTACTGCACCCCGTTTTCGCGCCCTTGGACGTATGATAAGCTTCCGGATGTAATGGAGTAAATCCAAAATTTGCAATAATTTGTCAGCTAAAGTCTGCAAATTCTATATGATCCACCTCCGTGAAAATGGGAGTCTGTACTAGAATGCTCCTGATCATACCGGTACAAGTTTGCGCATTTATCAGGAGTATATCGGTATTTATGGATTTGCTAAACGTTAGAATTTTTTTAATTTTCCTTAAGTGCAATCATGGCAGCTATTTCATATCATTTCTCGTAAAATTGGATACCCTTGCTGTTTTTAATTTTAATCGTTTTTTTACCTATTCTGAAAAGAACAAACTAGAACGGCTGTACCGGTTTTGGAAGGGTAAATTATTTAGAGGGTACTTTAGGGTCGTAGATTGAATGCGCACTTAATTGACATTTTTGTAACGGCTGGTTAAGTTCGCATCGATGCACTCCAACTCTTCACCTCTTCGTTATGCCCCGTGCGAAAGCCAAGATAACGCTTAAGGCAAAGCGTGCCAAAAGCAAGACGTCCGGGTCTAGCTCGAGACCACACGCTGCTTTCCGCAAGTGGGATCACATTCCCCGTCTCGTGGTGTTCGATCTGGACTTCACGTTGTGGTTCCCTGAAATGTACGAGCTGTGGGGAGCTCCGTTCAAGAAGAACCCCAAAACGGGGGTCGTTACGGACTGCAAGGGGGAACAAGTGCACTTCTTTGGAGCTGTACACACGGTATTAAGTATCTTGGAGACAGACCCGCAGTTCCGAGACACGACCGAGGTGGCGGTGGCCTCGCGGACGACGGAGCCCAAATGGGCCAAGACCTGCATGCGACTCATGGACGTGGATATCGGCGGTGTGTCCTCGAAGGGCGATAAAGAAGAAGAGGACGAAGAGACGGAAGAGAACGACAAAGAAGAAGGTGAGGGGGTGGAGAAGACATCACTGCAGAGCATCGTGGACTATGAAGCCATCTACCCGCGCAACAAGCGCGTGCATTTCGAGCAACTCAAGAAAGACAGCGGCATTCCATATGAAGAAATGCTCTTTTTTGACAATGAATACGGCAACGTGCATGACATTCAGAAACTCGGTGTAACGTGCGCGTATTGCCCTCAAGGGCTCACAGAAGGGTCGTGGATCCAGGGCATGGAGGCGTTCCAAGCCGCGAAGAGGAAAGAAACTAACTAGAAATTAATACTGGATTCCTTCGCAATAAATACTACTTCGAAGTATTAATGCTACCGGATATATCGCTGCGCTATCTCGATGAACTCATTGGCAAACTGTACACGAGAGCGATAAATTTGAGCACTACATCTCCAGAGCTCATTACGTGTACACCTTGTGCTTACTGTAATTTACCTGACCGACAAACAACATTGGTAAAACTTTACCAATAGCACTTTATCGATAATTCTTCTTCTACATATTATTGGAAATGTATTGACCAGAGAGAAATGGATCGTATCTGGTTGCAGACCTTAGTTGAGAAAGAGCAATCACACTGCGATGGCGGACCAGCTGAAAAAGGTTTCTAAACCTCATGAAGACGTGCTTACGCGGCTCCCACGCTTGGAATCAAAGAAGACTTTGTGCCGCGTCATGGAGCTAAATCAATTTAATCATCACGTGAGGAAGCTCGGTCCACTTGTGAATCCTGTTTTCGGCGAGCAGCCGGCGTTCTTCATCGAAGGTGGCCGCTGAAATCGAAGCACGGCTTCGTAATTGGGCTGTATTAAGCAGTTACTCGCTAATTTTGCGGTAGGAGACTGGTGGACCGCCCCCAGCAGCAGGCCCGCCCGCCGAAGAAGCAGTTCGCACGCCCTCTCTTACATCGATATAGTAGCCATTTCAGCCTTTAATTAAAATTTCGATGTTTGAGCTACGACATTAGGTGGAAAACAGCATTTAAAGTGTTAGAGGGCATGGGAAAAATACATCATTACAGACTCCGCCCAGAAACTGAAAACTACTTCCTGCTTATAACCTTTCAAAATCGGCTGTATCAGGCTTAGCATATTCAGGAGTGATGTCTGTCTCACGCAAATGTGGTTCAATTGCATCATTGCACGTCTTCGAGCAGAGCAGAACAGGCCGAAAAGGCACAAAAGGTCTCTGGCTACCTATCAACCAGAAGTGCAAGGTTATTGAAAAACATTGTCGCTGTCCCTCCCTGACACTCTCCGAATTGGCGCGCTGGGCGCTACACGCGTTCGAGCTTTCGCACCCTCCAGCCGATGCTACAATCTTTAGGGTCCTGCGGGACGCAGCAATCATCAAGTAAGCTTCAAACTGCTACCACCGCTAAAGGACGGATATCTCGTGTACGCTGCCCGAGCTTGAGATCCAGCTTGGCGAGTTTGTGATGGAGTGTCAGAGTGCTCATGCCTGTCTTTCTCGTCGGCTCATTACGAAGAAGGCCCAGGGTATTATGGCGAGCCTAAAGCACCCTCCTCTTCTGAAACTATCTGACGGGTGGATGTCGCGCTTCATGAAGCGTCATGGCCTTCGATTTCGAACCATGCATGGCGAGACAGGATCTGTGGACGCTGACATTATTCGCGAAGGGATGATGGCGATGCAAGACATTACTCGTCATTACGCGTTGCGAGACATCTGGAACATGGACGAAACTGGGCTCCTGTATCGCTCGGCAAAGACGAAGGGCATATGCATGAAGAGCACTCCTGGTCTAAAAAAAGACAAAACGAGAATAACGGTGGCGTTGGCGGCTAACGCTGAGGGATCTGAGAAGCGTCCAGTTTTCTACATCGGAACAGCTCTACGTCCTCACTGCTACAAGGGAAATTATGGAGATGAACTCGGCTTCTACTACCGGAATAATACTAAAGCGTGGATGACGCGGACTTTGTACACGGAGTGGATCAAATTATTTGATAGCGATATGCGTGCAGCAGGCAGAGACATTCTACTGTTAGTCGACAACGCAACGTCTCATGAACTTCAAAGCGGTGAGCTCACCAACATCACTGTGCAGAAGTTGCCGCCAAACACTACATCATATCTTCAGCGTCAGAAGATCGAGCGGCGCAAGCAGAAGCAACTCAAGCTGAGCAGCGACGCCAGTATGACCATCGATCAACTTGATGCCCTGTTCCCATGCTCGCCGACCACCGTTGATAATATCAACTTTACTATTCCGACGGAGACTCCAAAGCCAGTTGAACGAGCAGTTGGCAGTGACGCAACAGCAGAAATCGATGACGTTGAGCACGCGTTGACTATGGAGTTTCTGGACGAATTCCAGCCTCTCACGATCGATTGCGAAGAGCCTCTCACTGGTCTGGAAGGGTTTTCAAATGACGATCCGTTCTGGCTCGACATTGGGGCTATTAGCGCATCGATCGCTACTTCAGCGGTACCAGTCTGCACTCGCTCAAATTAAGTTTTTTTTAGGACTTGGATTAAACTCGAGTGCCGAGTTACCGTAATTGTCAGTGGACAGTAGTAGAATGCAGTGAAATGCTTATGAACCAAAAGACTTTTTGGACCGCCACAATTTCGAATGTAAGCTTAAAATTTGGTTCAAATCTTCAGAAGGTCATAGTTGCAGCCGTTGCTCAAGCTCAAAATGCGATCGCACTTATCCTCTATGGTGGATAAATTTGGGTTGAGCGTCTTTCTCGCATTGGCACATTGACGGTGTCTGGATCAGCGACAATTTCGTCATGTAGCAACGATAAGAAAGATTGGCATCCAAATTCTAAAAAAGAAGCTCTAGATTTGGTGCATATTCTGCTGCGTGTTCTTCTACATGTACCTACGCGCTCTGCTGCATCTTGGCCAGCTGGAAATCCTCCATATCCTGTAGCCACGACGCTACTGTAAGACCTTCGGGGCAATACGAGCACACCACGCCCAGTGCACTCACGTCGTGCACGTTCTCCAAATCGTCGTCATTGAACAGCATGTCTTCAAACGCGATGCCGCTCTGCTCCTTCAGCTGCTTGAAATGCGTCGTTTTGCTGCCTGGGAAGATGGTGACGAAGTCTGCGATGTCTTCCAGCGTCTTCTTGATCATTTGCTCGACGTCTTTACCACGCAGCGTCACGTCCATCAGACCCAGAACCTTCTTCGCTGTCTCAATCTCTTCCATACGTGACGCCACGCCGATCTTCGTGTTACGGAACTGAGGGTCCGTCTTCAATACACTCAGCACTGCGTGAATCTCCGGGTAGAAGTGGACTTGCCAGCCAATGGCATCAGTGACGTCACCCGTGATGGGGTCCTTGGTGATCTTTTCGTTGTGCAACTCATCCATGGCCGGGAACCACATAGTGAAGTCGAGGTCAAAGACCACGAGTTGCGGAATGTAGGTCCATTTACGAAAGACCCGAGCAGCGAATTCGGGGTCTTTGCCCTCAGTAGAGCGGTTTTTTCCCGGTGCGAGGTCTTTCGGCATACTTTTGACTTGGTTTTAGTTGCTTTGCTTTCAAAGTAAATTGAAGAATGGGGTTCTGTTTCCAAGAGCTGAGAAACTATGGCACTCTTTTGAAGGTCTCTTCTATCACCATAGAGGCTTATGCAGATGCCATAAGATCGCAAAATCTCTCGCCACATCATAATCGATTGCTCACACCATAAGGAACGGGGCGGATGGCGCGAGAATCACAGCCAACAGCACATGATGCAGCGTCGTCACAGCTGTGGACTCATGTCCCCCGCCTCGTGGTGTTCGATTTCGACTACACGCTCTGGTGTCCGTGTTGAATGGCGGTCCGTTCACCAAGTCCGACGACCCAGGGACGGTCCTTGATCGCTATGGGGAGGGACTGCCAGAAGTGCAGAAGGGGCTCCACGCCCGCTTTTCTAAATCTGACAGATTAATTCTAAATCTGAAAATAAAATTAAATCTGAACAAACGATGTTACATGTGTGTACCATATTATTGGCACTTATTGATTTGGCGCGAGACTCACCAGGAAACAAGCCCGCTTTCCCGCCCAATTGAACACTTCCCCGTAACCACTACACTTCGTTTTAGTATACGAATTGAAAATACGCCCGCTACGGCCCCCACTGCCACACAGTTTAACTCATTTTGCAGTCTCTCTCCCCAGTCACAGGCAGCCTCAATCCATGTCAGCTCCAGCCCCCGAAGTCCCTACCCAGCCTCGTACGCCGTACCAGTACCACATCGAGGACTCCAGTCTTTTTGCTATGGACAGGGTGATGGAGGTCACATGTGATGAGCCCCGGTGTGTGTACTGGTGCATGGAGGTGGGGCTAATCGACAAGGCCAAGCACTGCCCCCTGTGTTTTCAGCCGATGCGCCTCTCCCTCGCGCGGAAGCGATGGCGCTGTTGCCGTCGCAAGCAGCATGCCGATGGAAAAGAGAATTCCATTGGTATGCTGACCAATTCCTTCTTCAACGACGCTAAGATTAAGCTGAGCAGCGCTGTCCGGCTCCTACTTGCGTGGTGCATGCGTCTACCACAGGCCAATGCGGCTGAGTTGGCTGGGGTGACGGAGGCGACGGTCCAAAACTGGTACGCATATTGCCGTGCAACATGCTCGAAAGAGCTACTCAAAGCTGATTTTAAGGTAATGTTGCTCTAATGTTGCTGTAATGTTGCTGTATCCATAGTATTTAACTTTTGTTGCGTGTATGTAGATTGGCGGCCAAGGCAAAGTTGTTGAAATTGACGAAACCAGCTTGGCCAAGAAACAGAAGTATCGCCGCGGTCGGCGATACGAGGAATTCTGGCTCTTTGGAGGTGTAGAACGAGGTAGTGGGCGTTGGTTTGGGCGGATTGTGTACGATAAACGCACAAAGGAGACTTTACTTCTCGTAATTAAGCGATTTATTAAGCCGGGGTACGTATTTAAATCTGCACTACTACTTTCCGTTACTAACAAGTTTATTTTTGTGTGAGGCAGGACACATGTCATGTCAGATATGTTCGCTAGCTACGTCTGCGACCGAGGAGGAAAGCAGCACACACTGGAGAACAACAGGACTCTGCTTTCAATGAATTATTCTCATAGTTGGGTTAACCATTCCGAGAACTTTGTAGATCCCAACACAGGTACCCACACGAACACGATAGAGGGCCTGTGGGAGACCCGAATCAAAACACACATCAAGTCAATGAGAGGCATGAAAAGAGATCAATTGGACTCCTACCTCGACGAGTATATGTGGCGCTCCTGGTTCTTTCCCCCGAGGCCCACTGCAGGACAGTTCATGGGTGGTTTGGTTGTGGCAATCATTAGAAATGAATAAATCTAGTTCGTCAAATTAGGTCTTCTTTAATTTAGAAAATTATTTCTTTAAAGCGGGCGTGTTCTATGGGAGAGCCGCAGAAGGTGCTCACAGTCCTTGAGACGGACGCGCAGTTCGAGGGGACGAAGATTGCCATTGCGTCGCGTACAGGGGAGATTGAGGCTGCGAAGGAATGTATGCGACTTATTGAGGTGGATATTAAGGGCGAGATGTCGACTTTGGACCAAATTGCGAGCTTTGTGGAGGTCTATCCGACGTGCAAAGCTGCGCACTTTAATCAGTTCTTGCAGCATAGTGGAGTGGCGTACAAGGACATGCTCTTCTTCGACGATGAGTATCGCAATGTACAAGATGTATCGAGACTAGGAGTCACGTGCCAATTCTGCCCAGACGGGGTCACCTGGAGCTCGTGGGTGGAAGGAATACAGGCTTACCAAAACGAGAAGCAAAAGTAAATTGACTATATATCTACAACAATACCTACTCCAAAATGGCTTACCTTCCATCAATCAAATACCGGTAAAAGGACAAAATCTTTGATGCCCTCTCACGTGAAAAAATACCCATTCCGTTAAAAAGGGTCATGGCTTCGCCGGATGAGCTGCGCTTCCTGCAGTGGCTGCAGGACAACGGCGCGACGTTCCCAAAGTTGCAGTGGCCAGTGGCGACGCCCAATGGATTGCGTGGCGCCGTGGCGACGGAGGACATTGCGACGAACGAGCCCATGCTCAGCATCCCTCGGCACCTCCTCATTTCGGAGGAAATGTGCTGGCAGGACCCGCAGCTAGGCCCCGTGTTCAGGAGCAATCGCGACGTCTTCACGCGTGATGATCCTGTAATGGCGCTCTTCATCGTACGCGAGCTGTTATTGGAGCAGCGCTCCTTTTTCCATCCGTACCTAGCCATCCTGCCGTCCCCTGAAAGCGTACAGGACTGGACACACGACGAGCTTCGAGAGCTGCACGATGAGCGTCTCGTGGGTGCAGCGGTGCGAAGATCCTCCGAGATCAATATCTACTACCGACGGGTGATGACGAGACTGCAGGAAAAGTACGCGGGGGAGTTCCCCGAGACGCTCTACACTTTTGAGAAGTTTAAGTTCGCATGGAAAACGATCCAAGCGAGGACGTTTGGGCGGAGACTTCCCTGGACGGCTCTCGTGCCGCTCGCAGACTGCCTCAACCACAATACTGTTGCCACCAAATACGACTTCGACGTGAACGGCAGCGGACTGTTTCGACTCTATCCGTCGGCCACCACGAGCTTTGCGAAGGACTCGGAGGTGTTCAACTCGTACGGACGCCGGTCCAACTTCCAGCTACTGCTTGACTATGGCTTTGCACTGACTGATAATGAGTGGGACTATGTCGACGTCGAGATTGGTAAGGATCGTGCTGGTCCGTGGCGCTTGATGAAGCAAGTGATCCGTATCGACCGTCAGAGCTCGCTGGAGGAAATATTGCCACCGAACTTCCTCGCAGATACGACGCCAAATGGAAACCAAAATGAAGCTGCAGCTGCGTGTACCGAAGTTTCGACACTTTGCGATGCATTGCAATGGCTGCGCGGTATTTTGACCGAAACGATAGCCGAGTGGGGGGTTGCCGAACACGACCAACACCTACTGATACAACAAGAGGGTGCTTCTGATCGCCTTCGTGCAGCTATCACCTACAGACAAGGTAGACGACAGATTGTGCTTGGAGTTCTCACACAGATTGACAAGAAGCTAGATATTACAAAAAGAAGCAAGTCATTTGCCTGCGGAAAATAAATTGATGCCGCAATAATTGCAATAATTTCCTCTCAATAATCTACGGCCTAATCGAAATATCCTTTTTTCTGGTTTCTAGCAAATCTTCTCAAAAAAACTGCCGTTTAGAGGTTTTGGAAATCACCATAATTTTCTTTACAAACCGACTTTTGAGAAAACATACTACGCTTTCGACCTGAAGAGTTGAAAC